ATTGATTGATTGATTGATTGATTGATTGGCCCTACAGGCGCACACACACACACATACACAGATAGGATTGTATATTCCCATGTTCTAGCGGAAAATTCATTCGATTTTTTTTTTTTTTTTTCGTTGATTGATTGATTGATTAATTGATTGATTGATTGATTGGTGGGGGCGGGGTCACCCCCCCACCCCCCACAGGTGCACACGAACACACACACACACGGAGTGTTGTATATTTCCATGTTGTAGTGGAAGATTTGTTCGATTTTTTGCCCTTTTTTTTTTTTTCGTTGATTGATTGATTGCGTGGTGGGGGAGGGGTCGCCCCACCCCCCCGTCACCCACCACGCGCCCGCACACACACACACACACTCACAAGTGCGCTGTCCGCGCGCGGGCGAGGGCGCAACAGCGGCAGCGCGCACACACACACACACACACACACACATGCACTTTTATTTTTTATTTTTATTTTTATTTTTTACTTTTTTAGGTTTCTATCCCCTTATAATTAAAACAATAATGCTAATACTAATAATAAAAACTAATAATAATTAGTAAAAATTGCATGGCTGAAATTTTTTTTTTTTTTTTTTTTTTTTTAAATGAATTTTTGAATAAGCCTGAAAAGTATTTGGAATTAGTTACGACAAATAGAGCTAACAGAAACCTCTGAAACTAAGCACAACAAAGTGACGTAAAAAGCCAAAAACCAATAAGTTTTCTTCCCTGAGACATCCGCGGGCAGCTCGAAATGAATTCACTCCACTAGAAAATAATCCAACTGTCTCTGCTGACCCCCGCCGGGAACCTGCTGCACCTATAGGCAAATCAGGTACGCATAAGCACCCTTTATCAGCGCACCATTAACACTCTATGCTGCAGTTATGGGTTTACTCGCCCTTTGCAGCTCCAGTAATTCTCGCATGATTTTCTTTAGTCCTTGTGCAACAACCTTTCGCCCTCACAGAAACGGACCGATTTCCCCTACGAATACGACAACAACATAATACACCACACCGAAACGACACAGGCGATAGGCAAAAGACAAGCGCCCACGGCGACAAGACGGAAACGAAACACGACGAATCCATGTGCCCCCATAGCCAGTACTTCCCACCAGCAACCAAGAAAAAACACTACAACTACACATGAACTCGCGAAGTAGGACAGGGCATAAGACAAAGTTACTCCGTCCTATACTAACGACCACGCGTCACGGATGTTTTGGCTGGAGCCCAGTATCTGCAAGATATCCCCTCAGCACACAGTTTTTCGCAGAACAACACACGCAGCTGCAGACCCACTCACCTTTCTGCTCCTACATGCCGACTGCTACAGCTATGGATCCGGAAAACGCTTACAAGTTACTACCCCTTGCCTCTGCCGCAGATGCCCTTCCATGAAGCACCCCTACCCTTGCCCAATACCCTTCTGCATACAATTTTGGAACCTCTACTCGTTCCCCCCTTCATCATTGCCTGGTTACGCTTGGCTCACACTCTGGCCAGCTCCACTGTACAAACACCAACCGCACAACCTCTGTCCCCGTCTTGCTACGGTATGCATTTTGATATACAACTACGTATGCACCCGCATGAATGCTCGCACGGATGCGCTACTGTGATAGCATGTCCACTCTCTCTCATCCCACAACGCAACAGCAGTCCCCCCATTTTCTCTCGCCGTAACATTTCTGATCGGCTGAGAAGACAAAGGGTACCGGGCTTCTGACTGACGCGTTGCGGTGCATTACGCACTGTGCGCACGTCGTGAGCTACTGATACGTCGCTACGAAGACCAGTTCTCCATGGCGGCTGCTGACATTCCGGCGACACCGGCTATGACCACCCAGGTAAGGCTGGCTAACTCCATACCCGATTTCCCCTTTATTTTCCTTCTCCCCCCTCCCCATCCCCCGTTCTAACAGGAGCAATGTTTCGTGAACCCCTCTGATGAGCCGCTATGGGTGCTAAGCGGCGAAAAGCGTGCTTAAGGGCGTGCACCCCCCTATGGATGGATCTTATGACCCTTTCCTAACCCTTATTAATCTACTAACGCTAATTTTTATCTGCTCAACAAACCTTTTATTCTTACCCCTCCTTGCATAAACTGCTTTTCGGACTAATCTATTGGGTTGTATGGCGGTCTATTGTCCCTTTTTGGGATGGCTGTGTTTTTACACAAACTCCCCCCCCCACACACTCACCCGGATCTTTGATCTTGATGCCATGGCTGGGGTCGATCCCCCACCTCTTTAGACCCTGCCTACACTCCCACTCTAACACTTCCGATGAGCTGCTTCGCAAACCTAACACTGCCTTTTCTCCCCCCCTTCCCATGACCTTTTTTCCCACCCCACCAGCCATCGCCTACACTACGCGCTTTGTCAACCGCTGTTACCATACGACGCAACGCCGCAATAAACTTGTATGTTAAAACATTCATACATGCATAAAATGCTTTACTATACCCGGAGAAATGCCAGTTTCTTTAGGCACGCGAATGCGTGCGCAGTTCGTATGTTACATGCACAGTTATGTATTTTTTTCAGACAAATGTGCGTACTTATATATCACACATTTTTGTGTTTCTCCAAAGATACTAGTTCCATTTCGCTTGTCTTAACGCGCATCCTGCCGATCGTTCATATCCCCGCCCTTTTCGTTGGGTCCCTCATGCTCTACATTAATTGGTATGGTTGTGGATTGTGTTCCCGATGACGTTCCAGCTCTGCGATATTACTGAGAAGCGTTTAAAACCCTGGATCTGTGTGCCCGCTTCTATCTGCTCTTCCGCCCCTTAAAACGTTCTTTATCAATGACAACAGTTCCTCGTTTTGTTACATAGCATTAAGCTTTGGTATAAGCATGGACATGGCGTTAGATGGCAGATCTTCTGATTGCCGCTATATGAACTAGGTTAATCATCAAATATCTGATGCCTTTTGTCTGTTAGACCTCTAACGTTTTGCCTTTTTTATCCCGTGCTTTATACCTTTTATTACGTTTATTATTATTTTTTTTCCTTCACTAAGTTTTCATTATATAAAAAATATTTTTCCTTGTTGTTTTTCAATTCTTCGCTGTAGCACGAGCTTAATAATTTTTTTTCCTTCATTAAGTTTTCCTTGTTCTTCTCTTTTTAGAGCATAGGAACCTCATGCGAATAATGGATGTGGTAGGAATCGCTCTGCTTGTAAGGAGCCGCAGTAAATATCTGCTATGGCTCGTTTTTTTATGACTGTTAGAGTTATCCAAACCGGAATAGGTCGGAGCAGCGTGTTGAAATAAACCTGGCTTGATTCACATAACGACGTCAAACCTGTTTGCAGAAATTGGTTTAGTACTTAAAGTTAAAGCCAACATGATAGCCTACCACCTTTTTCGTTAATACACCTCGATTATGGTTCAAACTGTAATCCGATGTATGTTTTTGAACTTTGTCCAAAACTACCTCCTAGGGTAACGCGATGACCACCCACGGATAATACCGGACTGAGAATGAGCTTCCTTCTTGCAACATTTAATGCTATAGTCCACGTCTCGTAGATCGAGCTTCTAGATTTTTCTTTCTACCTTCGCTTTAAGAGTGCTACTGTTTCCTCCATACGACCCTACGGCAAAAGTAAACCTGGTTTGCTCCCCCCGCAAGTACATACGACGCACTACCTTGCTTTCGAGCACTTACCCACGGCTTCTATACGCCGTTGGGCATGTTTCACTTCCTGTACGCCGTTATCTTTTATCTATTTTACTTACGGTTACGTCAGATACCTCTATAATATGCAGACGATAACCAGACCCGGTTTCTGCAACGCAAAGTGTTTCCCCCCCCACTTTTTTTTGTATATATAATACGTTGCGAAATGAACTTTGGTCATTCTCTCTAGCTTTTTATCATTACATTTAGTAATCCTACGCATTTGAATGGAATCACACTCAGAATGGAGATTGCAAAACAACACCGCATACACACGTGAAAAAACTCTCTCTACACATCTGAAGCACCTATATGCCATGCACATGGACACAACATAGGATTACGCGCAAGGGAATCCGTTTATTTTATCCGAACCATATCAGACTGATTGATTTCGAAATGCTCCCTCCCAAAACAGTCTCCCCCTTCAACCTCACTCAAAAACCATACATTCGTAACATGACCACCACGTATCCTTCTTCTTTTTTTTACGCCACTTCCGCTAACAATTGAGGGATCTATCTTTTCAGTTGGGTAGAGAAAAAAAAGGACGGCGTGTTTGTTGCTATACCAACCCAATTGATCAAACTCATGAACGTTTTCCCGCACTTCCCACGACGTATTGAGCTCGTGTTACCAACCCAATGTAAAGATTGTTCTCAACCATTCTGTTCTGCTAACATACGTCAAACCTGTCACCAAGCTTACGGAACAACATGCGCACGAAACATTCGAAGGTCTTCAGCTTCCACACCCTGCTTCATGAGCTAAAACTCAAAATAGCTATTAAACGCGTGCTTTGGTTGGACGGTCCTTCTTTAGATGACTCTCAAACGTATAGGCCAAAAGTTCATCACCCCGAAACTAACGAAACCTCACGTAGCTCCAGCTTACATTAAGCGCTACAAGCAGTTCCACATATGCGATCACTGATAACCCTCGTACTCCTTGATTTCCCCCCACAAATCTTGACGAGAAAGGGGGTCACCAATTGCCACGCCCCATCCCGCCGTCGGCACAATGTCCCCTCGATGCTCTGCCGCGATTGCCGTCACCAAAGCCCTTAGGATGTTAAGCAGCAGGTCCCTTCCTTCCTCAGGTCGCCCAATAGGAATACGTTCACCATACCGACGCAAATAGAAACGTAGAGTGACGAAGGAACCCTCAAGGTAGGAGAAACCTACTCCTACACGTAGGACCATGTGGCCATTCACATCTACGTCATACGACCTCGTCAGGCTTCGACCCACTGATGATGCCCCCCATGGCTCCATTTCCACTGGTGCGTCGCGCTGATGGGTTCGCTCTAATATCAGGATCGTCTCGCCTTCCACGACGTCATGATATGCTACTAGATAGTCCATCACGATACACACCAACGCCTGAAAGAATCCGTAAAGGAAACGAAGTCCCCCGCTCGTATACTTCCTCCTCCGTTGATCAAGTCCCCCGGCATTAAGGAAAATTGCAAACTACAACCCCTACACGTGTACACAAAGCCCTGAACAAACGGAACTCTTAACTTAAAGCGTTTGTTGAACCCCTCCGGCACTGTGCCTCTTGAAATGTCTGTAGCACTTCCCAAATTGCTCCTACCCCACCTGATTTGACAGCAAATATGCGCTTCTTTCATTACCTTTTTCAAAAAAGTTAAAGTTTTTTTTTTTTAAATTACTGTTATATAAATAAATAGCAGTAATCAGGAGTAATATAGTGGTTATTAAAAAGATTACTTGAAATAGAAAATAAATAAAAATTTAAAAATTAAAATTGGATCCTTTTTAGTAATCTAAACTGCTGATTTTACTTTCTTACTAATATGTTCTCAATTCGAAAAACTAGAAAATACAAACAAAATACGATTAGCTCATAGCTAGAAAACACGACCAAAGTAAACAAATCTTTTATTTGGATGGAACGCAAACAGGCAGCTGATACGTGCAGCGATGCACCCACAATCCCTTCCAATGCACAACCGCTCATTCAAGCTTACCAACCCAAGGTAACGTCTGTTTCACTAGGACATGTAATCACCCCTCAGGAAACACCGCACCCAACTCACAGAGACATATAAGATACACTCTGCCCTAAAAAACATGCAGATCGCAGAACACACTCACATACTTCCCTTCTGTTTTTTTATTCATCTCCCTCTTGTTGCCCGTTTCCAATAGAAAGGATGAGCTATATGTCTCGGTCACTAGCACGACTGCTTCTCCTCTTGTTAAGTGATCTATGCTTCGACATTACGCATCACCCTACAACTAACTGTCATCATATACCAATACGTGTGCAGGATGAAGACAACATCCTCATGGGATGGCACCCAGAGCTTGCTTCCGACATCAGACCGTTCGCTGCTCTTCGCCCCCCCATTGTGCATTGCCAGATTGCCATGCTCGCGATCCCTGCAGACGTGTTGCTTCAAGTGTATGAAGCCACGATCGGGCGACCGCCCTTCCTGATAAAGAATCTCTCTTTCAGCGACTGGGCTGCACTCGTCCAGGTCATGCAAAGCAGGCCAGAACAGCTAGACACCAAAATCCAAGATCTCGCCAGCAATATCGCCGAATCCTGCAGGAAAGCCGCAATCGAGAATAGAGAGCTCAATCTCATCATAGCCAAGGCAGAAAAGATCATACTCGAGTTGCACGGGTACGATTCTTCGCATATTGACACCGCTGGACACGTCTCCATCACCGAGAGATCTGAAACGTTCAGCGAAACATACATCAACCGTATGTCGCTCTCGCAAGTTGAGCTGGAATACTTCAGGAGGAAGGAGGCTGAACGTTTGAGCAACACGCACACTGAACTTACTCCACTCACAAGAGATGCGGGCCATAAGTTTGCCAAGAATAGCCCCTGCCTCCCCCTTACTTCCAGCACCTGGACAGAGAAGGCTGTACAGCGTGTCCACAACCGGCTATGAAAGCTGGATACTTTCAACTACACTGCGCCGATCAGCGTGGAGGCATACATGGCACTTGCTGCGATTACTGACGCTGAGGCTATGAATCCCCCTCGGCGGCTGACAGGCGCGGCCAAGTCCGCGGCCGCGGCCGAGTCCACGACCCCGCGGATGCGTCCGCGCGGACGCGCGTCTCCGCGGACGCGTGGCGGCCGCTGGGGAAGGGGGTTTGGGAAACGGGAAGCGCCACGTGGCGGCGCAACCCCAGCCCCACCCCATCAGGCAAAAAAAAACGAAAAAAATCTAATTTTTGGTTGGGGGGGTAAGGGCGAAATCGAAGAAAATAGGGAAAAAAAACGCGTTTTTTTTTTGTTTTTTTTTTCCCGTTGATTGATTGATTGATTGATTGATTGATTGATTCGAT